AGACATAGAAATACAAAACAGAAAAAATATATTATAATATATATATACATACACACACATTAATGTTACACAGCTTCCCTGCCAATCAGCATTGAGCTGGCCAAACAGCATGGAGCGGGCTTCCCCAGCCAACTTCCTGATTGGCCCGGGAAGCTCGCTCCATGCTCCCGGAAGTACTGGTATCGGCAAGTACGGAAAGATAAATATCGGTACTCGATACCAGAAAAAAACAGTATCGGTGCATCCCTAATCATTATTTTAAATAATATATTCCATGCACTCTTAGGCCTGGTTCACACCTGGGCGTTTTACAGCGCGTTCCTACGCTCTGTAAAACGCTCCAACATGTGAAAACCAATGATTGCCTATGGGCATGGTTCCCACCTGGGCGTTTTTACAGCACGTAGGAACGCGCTGCAAAACGCCCTACGCCCAAAGAAGTACAGGAGCTTCTTTGGGGCGTATTTGCCGCTCGTATCCATTGGGACACAGTCAGGTAGCCCTCGGAAACGCATGTTTGTCGCGCGTTTTATTCTACCGCAAATCGCGGTAAAAACAGGTGGCACGAAACGTGCGACAAACGCGCATATTCGATACGCCTAGGTGTGAACCCAGCCTTAATGTACATATGACATGTTTAAAGTGTCCAGCCAAAACTTTTTTTTTTTTTTTGGATAAACTGGGGAAGAATTACAACCCCTATTTGTTTTTGTTTTTTGTTTGTTTTTTTGCTATCCACTTTTTCACATAGAGAGATTTCCACTTTCTTCCTGTCCTGCTGTCAACGTTTTACCAGACAGGAAGTGAGGCTGTATCCATCTTGAAGATTTCCCCTCACTTTTTCTTATGAAACTGTGAAAGAAAATCTTTTGATCGGAGCCCCAGATGGCAAATAAGACTCATCAGGGGCTATAATCCTTCTCCATTCTGTCCTAAAGTAGCAAAAACATTTTTTGGTTGGCATAAACTTTAATTATGATGGTAGCTAAACCATATTTAAATGAAAAATTCAAATTTTGCACTTTGAAATTTCTAACTTCAAAAGCATAATATTTAACTTAAAAAGCCCATGTGTGGGAGCTTTAGCACAGACTCCTCCTAGAAGTGACCATGGATGTTGCAATTTTTTTGTCTTTTAAGCTTTCTGTCTAATTTTATTTTTTCCAATCTTGCACAAATTTATTTTCACATTTCCTACAATTGAAGAAAAGTTTTGATACTCAATCTAAACGGTTGCATTGAAAAGACCTCTTTTGATTCCCATACCTCTACTGATCGATTGGTCATTTAAAACTGGGAACATCTTGAATTTGTGAATGGCAGATTGATAGGATTGAACATTGCCAACACAATTGCAGACTTTCCCACCTGATTAGGTTTTGGCGTATTAATGGGGCAGGATGGGAAATTCGTTCATGCAATGACATAATTTGGATGTATATGTGGTTTGTGCCCCCCTCCCCCATAATGTGGAAGTTAAGCAATGGGGGTGGGGAGTTTGAGAAACTGAAAGCTTAAAAAAACGTACTACAGTCCTGCAACATATGATCCATGTGGGAATTCGGACCAGAGGAAATGAAATAATTGAATTGTCCTCTTGTCGTCCACTGGCCGGCCTGGAAAGAAAAATTGACTGAATGCACATTAGTGACGTGTAATGCTAATTGGTATTGAATGGAGCACATGGAGAGAGTACTCTGCCCTTTCAAGTTAATTCGGCTCTGGCATCCTATAGCATGAACTCACCAAGACTTCTGAGGGTTCGATGGAACCGCCTTAGGTTTGTGAGAGCCGCCCCTGTGGAGAAGATCGGCTGTTGAGAGCTTTTGCACCCCCTTTTACATTTATTCCATCAGGGATTTGTAAAATTGTGTTTTATGTTGCTTCTTTTCTCTTATTTATCTTTTCTTTTTTATTTTTTTACATTTTCTCTTGTTTTTTTATTCTTTCCTCTGATTCGGGATATTTTAAGAATCAGAAATATCATTTTTTATTTTTGAGTGACACCCAAACCACCCATAGGCATACTTATCTCTTCTCGGTATTACAGTTGGTTTTGTTTTAACGTGGTGGCCGAATTTCATTGAGGATTGTTGGGCTAGCTGCTTGTGCAATGTAATGCATGTGGACTGGACCCATTGAATGTGCATTTTGGGGGATGTCCCGTTCATTTTTTATGGATCACCAGCGCGCGTTGGTGCGGTAAACCATGCACCTGATTCTTCAGCGTACCACAAAGTGTATTTCTTTGGTACGTTGGCCAAAATGGATCTGGTATGTTTTTGGTCCCATTGAATTTTAAGGGCCCAAGGCAAATTAATCGAGTACCTTAAAATGTACACGGTATAAATTGGCCCTTCTAGCCTAGACAGGCCAATTAGCAGTCCACATCTAATATTTAGGTGGTCTTGGCTCTTCATGCTTTTTTGTTTTATGCAAATCCGCGGGGGGTTATTCACACCAGACTGCATATTCGGACATTATATTTTATTACAGGTATTTATATAGCGCCACAATTTATGCATCACTTTTACATACTACACATTCACATCAGTCCCTGCCCTCAAGGAGCCTACAATCTAAGGTCCCTATCTCACATACTATGGCCAATGTAGACAGGAGCCAATTAACCTTCCAGCATGTCTTTGGTGTGTGGGAGGAAACCAGAGTACTCGGAGGAAGCCCACACAATAGAGAACATACAAAAAAAAGAAGGGTTATACCCCCCCCCCCCACACCTATTCTTCTGCTCTTCACTTTCTTGAAGAGCAACAGCCTCTTCACATTTACTGCATGCTGTGGTTCCGCTTGCCACCATCTAAATGGCTACATGATAAGTTCATGATTTTGTGGTCAGAAGGAGCCACAGAGCATGGCAGGGGACTCAGGCAGCCAACACCCCAGGAATGTGAAGGTTCTTAAGGTGGTCATAGCTCTTGAACAGGGCAAATAACTGTTTTACCATAAGCAGGACCGGTGAAGACAAACTCTTCTCTTTTGCGTTGAAGGAAGAGATTGGAGGGGATTCCCTTTTATTTTCCTGGAGTGTGCATCTCATGGTACAAACAGGCCACCGTCTCTCTTTTAGTATATCTGATTAGCATTGCAAAGGAAAGTGGTACAAATGTTTGAGGAGCAGTCATATATGCCTTTTTTAGCATGAGCCATGCTAATACATCAACAGAAATAAGCATGAAGGGGGGAAGTATCAGCCATATGTGATCTAAATATAGTATATGTTGTTTATATGCACTCCCAGAACACACCTGATGTATATACTTGAGCTGTGTTAAAGCAGTATTTTGACATAAAAAATAAATACACAGCTACCTATCTTTTCTGCTTACATTTGCATACTGATACCATGAATTCTGGTAATGTACAGTCTTGTAACTGTATCTCTGTCTTATCTCCTAGTGGCTTTTCATGGTGTCCCATTAAAAATCAAGAAAGAACCGCACAGTCCCTCCTCTGAACTGAACACCGCCTGCAGCCAGGAACAGCCTTTCAAGTTCAGCTATGGCGAAAAGTGCCTGTACAATGTCAGGTACGTGCAGCTCCTATCATGGTACCTCGGTAGATGGTGATGGGTTTTCATAAAGTCTAAATCTGTGATTGGAGTAAAGAAAATGAGACTGGTCTGACATCACACTCAAGGGCTGAATGTTTGACTGAAAATCCAGATATCTGTTTTTGGGGTCCTTGTAGCTTTCTATAGTTCATAACTTAATGCCAGGATCACAAACTGTAATGGATTGGCATTCTTAAATAAACATTTATTATTATTATTATTATTATTATTATTATTATAATATAATGTGCAAACAAAGCAAAGTTCAATGTGCCTGGACATTTGCCAAACCTAGTGGGAAATACCCAAACCATGAACCTATGGAAAACGAATCTTGGAATTTGTTTTTCAAGGACAATTTGCAAGCATTTAATAAATTTTTTTATTTTTTTTAAAGGCATGGATAGTGGGCACTGCCATTGGGGATTTTTGCCAATGCAAAAAAGTACGGCCACTAAATGACAGTTTTCAGCTCTCGCTTCTATCTATTTGTAAAAAAGACCCTTACCCAAATATGGTCATGATGACCTTTTATTAGGTCAGTGACCTCATCAGCGATCCCTGGCCTATTTGTTGATATTCGGCAGCTGGCCACAGATATGTAGTGGCAGGTCATTGGGTGTCGCTCATTGTGATTTTGATGGCGAATCCTCTTCGCTGAACAACTTGATTTGGTGTTGGATTTTGGCTTTGTTATATACATTTGTTTTTTGAGGTGTGGAATCTAGTATTTACCATTTCATATTATTTTGTTTTTACTATTTAATTTTTGGGGTACCCTTAACTCCTCCAATGTAGGAGGGAAGGCTGGATATATGGGGGTCCCCTTATTTTAAAAGGGTCTTCAACATTCAGAAAAGTTCCCCCCACAGACCTCCACATCCACGGAGTCAGCGATGTGCGTACGAGACACTTGTCCCATCAACATTTGGCGAGTACCATGCTAGGGTGGGTCCCCCACCCTTAGCAAGGTACCTTGTCCCCATATTGATCCGGACATGTACCTCGTCCCCGCATCCCTGATTTATCAGACTCTGGAAGCCTACTTTAGAGTAAGGGGGCACCCATATAACCAGCCTTCCCCCTTACATGAATGAGTAAACATAACATAGTACCCCTTGTTGCTCATTCACATAAAAAAAAAAGAAATTTAAAAACATCCACACCTTAGAAATAGTTTTAAAAAAATAAATAAACAAACAAACAATGGTCCCCCTGGTAAACTCAACATCAATCATGATGTCCAGCACTGCATATCCAGCGCCAATCATGATTAGGGATCATCTCCTTTACCTCCATATCTCTCTCCAATACATCACGCACTCCACCAGGACTTCCATGACTTTGTTTGCTCTTTTCAGACTGTCGCTGCTTAAATTGGAAAACATAGTGTTGTGCGAGGTTGAACCCAGTGATGTTTTCTATGCAAGCTCAGCATATGAATCCACTATTTCCATCTAAAGAGATTAAGACACCTTTCTAATTTACTAGCCTTAAACTTGCCAGTTTTATAATTTATTGGGCTCTTTGAGGGCCTCTTGACTTTTCGTTCCTTTAGATGAAAAATAATGCTTTTCAGCAGAGTGTTTTCAAAAAGCTTTTTAACCTTTGCTTTCTTGACTGTAATGCATTTTTGCATAGTATGGTCGAGACAGGCTTTTAAAGTGATTTACACCATGTTGCACGTCCGCGTGACAACGCATTGTAGGTAAGTCACACAGGAGACTGGGTGACTTATCATTTCTGTGTAGTTTTGCTTTGTACAAGGTGAGGCCTTCCAGCCATAAACTTCATCCAGATGCTGTAGTAGTAGAATTATGGTGGAGACTTTTTTTGGGTGTAATCACCTGTCAGATGCCTTTTTTTCTCACATGGCAAGGTTTCCCTCCTGTGAACGGAAGGACTAAAAGTCACAGCGGCAGGGGGACTCCTAGATCTCAGTGGAGACCAGGTCCGCACATGTAGCCAAGCATTTGCTTCCTCCAGTCTGCAGGAGTCTGCATTTATTGTGGGTGCATTCATTTTCTTTTCAAAAGGTGGACTATGCTTTTTAAATATTTTAAGTAATGTATGTAAAGGCAAAACCGTTTTTCTTCTTTTAGAGTAGGGAAGGGTTAAACCGCCTATCAAGTCACCTTGGCTTGCATGGCTTCCAGTTTGAAAGCAGCCAGTTCAACACAGACTACTCAGGCATGGTCCACTGTTGTCACCATCAGGATACCCACCCTGATAAATGCCATGCAGCCATTGCTAAAGGGCATGTAGACAGGAAGTGGTTGCAGGCGATCAGCAGCATTGGGATGCAACAATAGATTGAGGTGTTAAAAAAAAAAAAATCTCTCTCTCCTTTCTTTCTCTCTCAACTGTAAGGATTTACAAGGCTTTATATTTAAATAGCCTGGTGTGTTTCTATTTTATTATTGTAGTGCCTATGATCAGAAACCACAAGTTGGAATGAGGCCCTCTAACCCGCCAACTCCTTCCAGCACACCAGTGTCTCCATTACACCATGCGTCACCCAACTCAGCTCAGAACCCAAAACCAGACCGTCTCTTCCCCCCGCACCTTCCTCCATCTCAGCCCCTCCCAGACTCCAACTACACCATGGATCACAGGTGAGATCCCTATCCTCCATCCTATGAGTCCTATAAGAACTGTGGGAAGTTAAATGGTATTTATTCATTCAGCAGAACTTAATGGTGGTGGGGCAAAGGGATTTGGGTCCAAATAAGGCACCGTTAGCCATGACTGGCAGCTAAAGTTAATTGAGGTATAGGGGGATTGATCATACTTCTTAACAAAAAGAACTTTTGAGATGTTAAACTAGCTGCTGGTGTTTTTCATGTGTGCTTTTTATCATTGTAGTCCTACAGAAACATGGAAATTCTGGTGCATTTGTTTTTGTTTTGCATTGCAAATGTTCTCTAGTGCAGAGTGAAATGTTACTAGCTTTTTAGCAAAGGGTTTTAAATCACCTTGCTTGGAAATGCAACTTATGTCAGTGTCATTGTCGCCTCTAAAATAACACCTTATGGGTACAGATTTGTTGCTAAGCTTTATTTCCGTAGATAAGTTTGTTTGTTTTTAAGGCCAAGATATTTCGTGGATTATGCTGAACCTCCTCTCTATTAACCGCATCATGTATCTCAGAAATACAACCATACTTTTAAAGGGTTTGTCCACCCAAAACTGATGGATACTAGAGAGTTAAGCCAAGTTACAGTTTCTCTTACTCTTGGGATCCCTGTGCAGAGTTCCTGGGTCTGCACACCTGCTGTGCCCATAATCAGTGGCTCCCACCATCCCTACACTGAAGTACTGGGTCTGTACCCCTGCTGTGCCCATTATGAGGAGTTCACACCATTCCTATTGGATGTTTTTTAATTATTTTATGATAAAGAAAATGTAACAGGAGCAGCTGGGACACACAAAGGTGGGTCAGGGACACTCAAAACTCACAGGTGGTCAGAAACCAGAAACTATGGCAGCTACATCTCACCCCTTAAGACCCTGATATATACGAGGGGTAACTTGGCCTACCAGATTCCATTTGCAGATGAAATAACCATTTTGGCTGGACTTACCCTTTAATTTTTATTGATGTTATAAAAACATTTTTGTTTTGATAGTCCAAATTGTTCTTGTAAAAAAAAATATTGGAAACCTTTTAAAACTAGCTTGACTTTTTAAAAAAAACTTTAAACTTTTTTTTATTTCATAGTTATTTTCTGGTCTTTTTTTTATGACTAATCAGGTTTCGCAGACAGCTCTCCGAACCATGCAATTCTTTTCCGCCGCTCCCTGCGCTGCCGCAAGACGGCAGGCCCATTTACCAACGCCAGATGTCGGAGCCAAGTATCCAGTTCCCCCCTCAAGGATTTAAACAAGAATTTCACGACCCGGTGTATGAACACAGCACTATGGTGGGGAACGCTCCCAGCCAGACCTTTCCTCCTCCTCTCATGATTAAGCAGGAGCCAAGAGATTTCGCTTATGACTCAGGTAGGTACTACCCACTGGGGGAGAAGATGAATCTATAAAGATATAGAATTCCTTGTTACGTTTTTGTTTTTTTGGTGTGTTCCTATAACTGTTTTTGATATTGATAGTGCTTTTTTGACTGGTGTTTAGTGGTAGCTCTTCGCTGTAGGGTGGTATTAAGTGTCTAGTTTGGTGTCTGTTGAAATGCCGTGCCCTGTTCACTTTTTGTTATCCAATCCAATGGAAAATATCCTGAGGTTACATGGCATGGTGCTTAATTTGCTGTTTTTGAGTAAATTAGTGTGTTTGGTTAATGGGTGTCTTGTCAGATATAGTGTTGGATACCCTGGTGTTTAATCGTATTAGGTGTACAGTTTCTTTGTGTCTGACACACTCAGCTTGACCCCCTAGCAGAGTCGTCCCTGTCTTTTTTGCTACCTGAGGTGTTGGCGGGGGGAGCATGGTGTCCTACCAAGCTTCTGGCAATCAGTGACGTCACCGGTTGACAAGAGCTTGGTGGGGCTCTGTGGCAGGCATCCTAGGAAGCTCCTGGAAACCAGTGACATCAGTGATTACCAGGAGCTTGGCGGGATGACGCCAAGAGCATCTCGGGTTGCTAAGAGCTGGGTGGAGAGATGTGTATGGCACTTACACATCTCCCCACCCAGCACTTGGCAACCTGGGGCGCTCTGGCCGGAAAGGGGGCTGCCTCCTGAGGCAACAGCCTCATGCTGTTGCATTACAGGGATGGCCCTGCCCCTAGTGTCTGGCATTTGCTGTGGTGCTTGGTGTAATTCAGTAGGCCCAGTTGCCTGGTGTCAAGTCATGTACAGTATGTAATTATCTAGTGCACTGGCATGTAGTGACCTATCCGTGGCATCTGATAATATCCTTGGACTCATTTCTTAATATCTTGATATTATGCCTCACCCTGGTAATATTCTAAGACTTATTCTTTGTTTTTTATCCATTTTAAATTTCACCTGTGCCCAGACTATGGACATTGGACAATATACATGTTCCCAACCACCAATAAAAGAGCTTTAAAACAAGCCCCACCTCATCTCTCTGGCTGCTTTTAATGTGCAGTTGTTCATTCTCAAAGATCACAGCAAAGGCTCTAAATTTGGGTTACTTACAGCTTAGACACACCTGCTGTGTCTTTACATTAGAGGGCGGGTAGACTGTCCAGATCTGCTCTTATAGAAAAAAAAGCTGAGCTTTCGTTGCCTGTGTTGTGAACTTTGAAGATTAATTTATCCACAATACAGATAGATACAAAGGTGAATGAGAGCTTTTTATAAAATGCTTGTGCTGCTTGTTCGGAATCCGTAAATACTATAGTGTACGTGATTTGGGCACAGAGATTTTGGGTTCGCTTTGAGGAGGGATTTATGAAGCCGATTTAGGGAGCTATTCTTAAAGTTTGCTTTTCTGTAAGCCACATTCTTAATAAATGACTTAATACTCATATAGGCTTACAGTGCCACCATTAGAAATCATGATGCCCCATGCAGCCCACCTGACAGGGCCCCGTTACCCTTCTACCTATACACTTATGAGGATCAGCAGAGAGTGGACGTTTGAAGCCTCTGACTGAACTCTCCTTTTTGCACTGACTACAACAGAAAGAGATTTACCGGCAGCATTTAATTCCGAGAATGGATATGCTGGGGTTTGAATTCCTCATCAGATCCCGAGCTTTCCCTCCTCACCTATCTTTCAGTAGCCCTATGTGCACCTGACCTGTCATCACTAGGGGGGAAACAGGACTGTCGCACAGCCCACATCTACATAGTGACGCATCCTGCTTCTAAACCAGATATGGGCCTTATACGGGAGTATGCCTATACCCCGCTATCGGCTGCCTGGTAGATGTATTGAGGAAGCAGTGCAGGAGCAGAATGCAGTTACCCAGAGCATTCAGAAACAACTTTACTATGCTCTGACAATCCGATTCCTATAGGTTGTTCTGGGTTTTGGAGTTGGCACTGTAGACAAACCAAGACTCTTTCCCTAGAATGGGAAGTAACTGGATGGTCTTCTTTTTTGCAAGTGCAGCCAGTGTATTTGCCTGTAACTTTGTTTCAGTTGACAAATATCAGCTTCCTTGTAAGCTGATTTGGAGGGAGAGGCGGTGCATGCTAGATGAACAGGCAGGTGGCAGGATAGCAACAGAGAGGCAACAGGACTGTATGGTCTGAAGTGCTTTTGTTTTCTCCCGCTTATGCTGTGCAGCATAAGTGATTATCGGAGTGATGTGCACTACTTTACAGACCATCTGATGAGAAAAACAAATACCGGTATGTTTGATTAGAGTTGAGTTTTAAAGTAAAAATGTGAAACGCTGAGGTTGCCCACTTTAATTTGAAACACTCTGTGCCAACTGGCTTGATGTAATGGCTTTTGCCCCTTTTGTACTTCATAGTTTATAGACGGCTTTAGTAATGTGCAGTCGTCCTTCTCTTGGCCCTGTGATCTCACTCTGCAACTAGCGTAGCCCTCTTAAGCTGGCCATACACTGCTCGAATGTTGGCCTTTTCCTGGGAATTAGCTAAAATTGTATTAGTTGTTGGCCAAACGGTGACTGCATCCAATAGCCAGGAGAGGAGGTTCCCCCCATTCACTGTGTTTTCACGTTGTCACTGATTCCCAGGGCCTGAGCGGGATGCACTAGCTGGTGTCCTGCCCAGCTTCTGGCAACCAGTGACATCAGTAAGCTGGGCTGGACGCCATTCTCCAGTAGAGACACCCCACCCCCGGAAACTGTACCACATGCCATCGTCCACCCCACCCCTAAATGTGCAATGTGCATTATGAGCACCACAGCCCACTCCACCCCTACCAAACACCCTACCTCAACCCAATCTCCTCCCAGAATGTGCATCAGGAGCACGCACACACCCACCCACCCCATGCACCACCACACCCCGGCCTCAAGTGGCAAGGTTTGGAGTCACTTCACATTTCGTCCCTTTCATGTGAATTCTGCAACAGTTGGAGTGCTGTATACCCTTTGTTTGTCTCCTCTGCCATGGATAATGTTTTTAGCTTCTGCTGACTCTATTTTCTATATAAGGCCCCATCACAACATGCATTCCTTCATTTAGTTTTTGTCGGAAAGAACTGGCAAGAACAATTGAGAACTTTGTCATATATCTTCACTGTTTGTACTGGGGCTGGGGTTCAGGATGGGAGCAGAGAGTGGGGAAAGTTCGTTTTATTTGTAATAACTACAAATGGCCTAAAAAAAATTTGGAAAAAAAATGTCTTAATTAAAAACAAAAAAAAAACAACAAAGAAAATATTAAACGTTTCCAGCAGTTTGTTACAATGTTGTAGCGCGGAGAAGCAATCCCCGATCCAAGATATCCATTTCCAGGCTCCTTCTTGCCCCTGGGCTCCATACAGCAGATTATTATGTTGTGGGTTGGGTCGCCCTCAGAACAAATATGTATCATTAAGATGGAGAGTTACAGTAAGTGCTCCTGTCTAGTGATTTGATTTGAGAATTGCGCTGTCTGGATTTACTCTCGTGCATTAACAGGGGTCACGAGTACGCCGCCTGCACTCCAAACCCGTAATGGACGTCTATAGATGGCCCCTAAACCAATCAGGCCGTTTTTTTTAGCCTTGACGGATTGTTCTCAGGAGGCCGGCCTTTTGTGAACGCTGACTGACTTGTACATGAATGGGTTTTGTGTGGCTCCCAGCTTCATTCATAAAGCAGGGAGGAGGCTGGGAAAGAGGAATGTCAGTTCAATAAGCCGGAGCAGAGCAGCTCTCAGGTTTCATCAGCTGTTTTGCTTGCAGGAGGAGGAGGAGGTGGAATGACTAACACTGGGTTACAGGGCTGCTTCTCTGTGCGCTGTGTACACTTGCTTATGGAGAAATGAGAAAAACATGAAATTGTTGTGATTACCGCTTTGGAGAGTGCGAAAATGCACCTATTACCTTAGGAAGAAATGAAGAAAAACCACGCACAAGCAAGAATATATACAATATAGATAATTAGTACCAGCATACAGTCCAGGAAGTCTTGCCTCAGTGCTTCCACACAGACACAGTAATGTAGCAAAGGTTCAGTATATAGTGTCTACAACAAGGATTGCGGTACCACTGTGAAACATACCACTGAGAAAATCAAACAGATCTGATACAATGTAACTTTCACACACTGTTCTCATATGTACAATACACTGGTCAGCCATAACAATATGACCACCCGCCTAATATTGAGTAGGTCCCCCTTTTCCTGACCCGTCGAGACATGGACTCCACTAGACCTCTGAAGGTAAGCTGTGGTATCTGGCAAACCATCAATAGCAGATCCTTTAAGTCCTGTAAGTTGTGAGGTGATCGGCCTCCATGGATCGGACCTGTTTTTTCAGCACATCCCACAGATGCCCGATTGGATTGAGATCTGGAGAATTTGGAGGCCAAGTCAACACCTCAAACTCGTTGTTGTGTTCCTTAGAGCATTTTGAACCATGTTTGCACTGTGGCAGAGCACATTATCCTGCTGGAAGAGGCCACTGCCATCAGGCAATACCGTTTCCATGAAGGGGTGTACTTGGTCAGCAACAATGTTTAGGTCGGTGGCACGTGTCAAAGTAACATCCACATGAATGGCAGGACCCGAGGTGACCCAGCAGAACATTGCCCAAAGCATCACACTGCCTCCGCCGGCTTGTCTTCTTCCCATAGTGCATCCCGGTGCCATCTCTTCCCCAGGTAAGCGAGGCACACGCACCCGGCCATCCACATGATGACGTGATGTGGACTTTCTATATGCTGGACTATTGGGCCAGTCCTGAATTGATGAGCACCAGAAGGCTTTGCATCAATTTGCTGTTCACCTATTGTGAGTGTATACGAGCTTGCTCAACATTCTATTCTCAAACCATATATTTAGAGTTGCTCCCCACCTCTCTTATGGTTGTAATAGCCTCCATTCTTCTAGGAAGGCTTTCCCCAAGATGTTTGACTGTGGGAAATCGTGCCCATTCAGCCAAAAGCAC